CTGCCCGCGACGTCTCGGCGGGCAAATCCTGCTCGACGAGCGCGGCAACGGCTACCTCGCCGACGTGGGCCTCGCGCGCGCGGCGGAGGCGACGGCCGGCGCCAATGGACAGGTCTCGCACTTGTCGACGCAGCGTATCTTTGGCAAGCCCGGCTACATGGACCCGATCATCACGCAGGATGGCCAGGCCAGCGTGCTGACTGACGGCTACGCGCTCGGCATCACGCTGCTCGTCGCCCTGACCGGCCGCGGCGCTCTCGGCTTGCTCAACGCGTGCGAGGATGAATTGGAGGAGCCCGACACGGCGGAGGGCATCGCGGCGGCCGACGCGGGCTGGTCGGCGGCGCAGGCCGAGGAGCTGGCGCGGGTCGTGGTCGGGCTGGCGTACGAGCGGAAGAAGAAGCGGATGCCGCTCGCGGACGCATTGCCGCGGCTGGAGGCGCTAGTCGAAGCGGCGGGGGAGGTGGAGGAGACGGCTGCACCCGAGGAGCGCCAGTGTGACCTCTGCTACGACGCGCCGCGCTCGGTCCGCTTCGCGTGCGGCCACGCGCTGTACTGCGAGGCATGTGCGCCGCGCGTGCTGGAGCGCGACGCCAACTGCCCGGCCTGCCGCCAGCCGGCGCTGCCCATCGCCGCAACTGGGCGGCTGGTGGCGGCGCAGACGACGTTTGTCTACCAGCCACCCACTCGCGCTGCGCCACACCCACCGCCCGCTGGTGGCGCGGCGGTGGTCGGTGGGCGAGGCGGGCGGGGCGGGCGGGGCGGGCGAGGCGGGCGGGGCGGACGGGGTGGGCGGGGTGGGCGGGGGAGGCCGCGGGGCGAGGGGCGGGGCGCTGGCGGCTCGTAGCTCATTAGACATTACCGGGGTCGCACTGCCCTCACCCTCGGCCTCGCCCCGCCCTGTTCACGCGCGCGCGAGACGTGCAGACAGGGTTGTTTTTGTTTATTGTGTGTGTGCGGGAGTTGGTTTGTCGGGAGGGAGGGGCAGGCTGCTCACCCACGTGCACCGGCCCATGGTCCTACCCGTGTCCGGGTGTGGAGATGCGAGGGTCGCCCCCCCCTTCTTACCTTCCCTTAGCAAAAGAAAACAATCGCGGCTGTTTGGTGGCCCAGCCAGGAGCCCATGGAGGAGCCGGGCGATCGCGACGCGCTTGCGATGCCTGCAGCGGAGTGGCAGCCGCTTGACGACGCCGGCACCCCCGCTGCGAGCGGCTGCGTCGGTCGCTGGCTCACCGAGGCGTCTGACCTGGCCGCCACCGACGCCGAGGCGCGGGTGGCCATGTGGTCGTCGGACCGGCTGCCTCTGCGCTTCCCGCAGGAGTGGCCGGCCGCGTTCAAGTCCGCGCCGCTGAAGCGGCTGCTCAATAAGTCGATGCTGAACGGCGTGCGCTGCCGCGCGGTGCCTCCGCCGACGGCGGCAGAGCACGCCGCCGCCGCCGGTGTCGTGCTCGAGCCGCTGCACTCGTTTTCCAACGCCGAGCGGGTGGCCGCCGCGAGCGGCTGGGCGGTGGTCAAGGGATTTTGGGTGTTCGAGCTGGCCGACGCCCCGCCGAGTGCGTCCTTTGTCGCCGTCCGCCACTGGTGGAACGCCACCTCGTCGGGAGGGTGGGTCGACCTCACCCCAAGGCTGAGCGAGGCCGCCGGTGAGGAGCCGCGCTCGCGCCTCCTCGTCGAGTCGGCTCTCGGCGACAAGGCTGCCGACAAGCTGACGGCCGCGGGCCGCGACTTTGCGTGCGCGCTCGCCCGCCGCATCGGCGCGGGGGAGCGGCCGCCCCCACCACCGACGCCGCCGCCCGGCGCGGCGACAGTCGCCGCCACCGAGGCGGCCGATGCACTTCTCTACTGCTCCGGCCCGGCGC